CAGTAATGTTAGACTGTTAACCATTATAGATGTTAAATATTTATTATTATTATTATTATTATTATTGTTGTTGTTACATTAACCTTTTTTGCTTTTTTGCATATTTTTGTTTGGTTTTCATTTATGATGTGCTTTTTTGTTATTTTATTTGTTTGTTTGGTTGTTATTTCAGTTAATTGACAAGGCAACATTTTTTAAATTCTAGCAAATTAAAATGTACATTTATTAATATTATTATTATTACTATTATTATTATTAAAGCGATTGTTTTTACTTAAATTTTTTTATCGATCGATCGATTGATTGATTATTTTAGTACTTCAGCTTACACTTATTTATTTCAGTTAGCTGCCAAAACAACATCTTTATTTTTTTTTATTTAAATAAAAAATAAATAAATTCTACAAATATTTTTATTTCTGCTTTATTTCAATTACTGAAGATGGAGATGATGATGATGATTTTTAATAAATCAATTATTTTTACTTTTATTATTATTATTATTAGTAGTAGTAGTAGTAGTAGTATAGATTCTTCTTCTTCCAACTAGAGCTCTGTTTCATAAATTTTATCATGTTTATAACATTTCAAAGTATTCTATAGTTTTTTCTCCTCAACATTAGCTCAGAAACACACAGCGTTTGCAAAGCCAGGGTTACATGTCTGCAAATACTGATCAAATGTAGAGCTTGAATGAACTGTGCAGTACATCACTTTAAATTCGAGCATCTGCCACATGTACATACGAATAAAGGCATTTGAATTCGGGTTTCAACAGAGTTCATGTTATAGTAACAGGAATTTGAGTTATTAAACTGACCATAGGTATATTTCAGGACTGAAATGAGTGACGGAGACCTGCAGTGGTTTAACAATGATACATGCCAACACACTTCAAAATATCTCGACTCAGAAGAACGCCAGCGTTGCTGAACAGCGTTTTACAAAAGACAAAGAGCGCTGTAAACAATGGCTGGATTACATTTCTGAGATTTCACGGCGTGCTGTATAGGGAATATACAGTCTGTGTCCGCTTTGGTGATTCATGCCACATACATTGTCAGCATGCATTGTGTATTTTCCGAGGCGTGTTGGGATTGAAACCCATGGCTAAGAGGGATTTAATTATAATTGGTGTCTGCAGGGCCTGTCCATGTCAATTTACCGCATCTCCTGCCATTTGGTGACATGCTTCTGGAAGATCCTAATTGGTCAGTTAACATTAGTTGACAAATCAATTAAATCGCATTAACTCAACTCGAAAGGCCGGAAAGATTCAAATTTTGGACTTCCTTTCATGGTGTAGCGGTTTAATCTGACGGTACAGTACAGCAGGAAATGACAAATTGTCAAAATCTTACTGACTTTAGTGTAGTTTAACTCATTTATATTCCGTTTTCATCTAAATTTTGTTTTCCAGATTGAATTTATTATACATATTGAATTGTTGAATTTGTAAAATGGTCAATCGTTCTAATGAATCAGTCACTGAATCTGTCAGCTTCACTCTCCTTTCTAATGATTCACATAAACTGATTTGCAAAACAAAGATAAAAAAAATCATATTTTATGAAAAAGGTCTCATTTTACCTAAGTTTGTAGTCTGAAATAAAGTAATGAGGTAAAAGGAGAGGAAAATGCCAAATAAAACAATGACTGAAAAGAGTCATACTGCAAAATGAGTCCAGTCTGATTCCTGCACAAATGACTCATGTGAGGTGCTTCTTTTAATCAATTCAGGTCAAAAAAAAAGAATCAGTTACTCCCAAGTTTTCCATTTGAATCATTCTAACAAATCAGTCACTGAATCTGTCAGTGATATTATTCCTTTTCATGATTCCCACAAACTGATTTGCAAAACAAAGATAAAGAAATCACACTTTATAATAAAGAACTTATTTTATCTGAGTTTGAACAAATGACTCATGTGAACAGATTCTTTTAATCATTTGATCAAAAAGAATAATGTACATTCGAGTTAGTTGGTTTAAATCATTCCACCGAATCAATCACTGAATCTGTCAGTGTCATTATTCTCTTTGGTGATTAGCATGAGCTGATTTGCAAAACAAAGATGAAGAAAGCATGTTTCATAATAAAATAATCTCATTTTAGCTGAGTTGAAAGTTAGTAGTCTGAATTAATGTAATCTAATGAGTTAACGAGGCAGGAAATTGTTAAAGAAACATACCACAAGACCATTAAAGTCTGATTCATGAACAAATGATTCATTAGAACTGCTGGTCAAAAAGAATCATGTCATCCCAAGTTACTTTGTTTGTATGATTCTAATGAATCTGTTAGTGTCATTATTCTTATTCATGTTTCATATAAACTGACTTGCAAAACAAAGATAGATAGATCATATTTTAAAATAGAGGAATCTCGTTTTACCTGAGTTGTAAGTTTGCAGTCTGGATTAATGTAAAGTTATAAATTATAAAGGTGGGAAAATGGTAAACAAAGCACTGATTGAAAAGAATCATACCCCAAAATGAGAAAAGTCCAACGCTATCTCATGACCAATTCATACGTATTTTACGAGGTGGCTAATTCGTACGACCTCATTTGTACGATTTTGTTCGATTTGTCTAAACCCCAGTGACTGGTAGGTTTAGGGGCGGGGTTTGCTGTAGGTAATTCGTACAAATTCAAACGAATTGTGCAGCTCGTAAAATACATACGATTTAGCAAAAATCGTATGAATTTGTATGACTGAGGTCGTACAAATTCGTACGAATTAGCCACCTCGTAAAATATGTATGAATTGCCGTGAGATCGGGCTGAAAAGTCTGATTCATGAACAAATGACTCATGTAAGGTGGTCAAAAAGAATCATATACTCCTTAGGATGATTCAAGTTTGTAGAGTCATGTAACGAATCACTCAATGAATCCATCAGTGTCATTATTCTTTTTTAAGATTCGCACAAACTGATGTGCAAAACAAAGAAAAAGAAAACCTATTGTGTAATAAGAAATCATATTTTACCTGATTTTACCTGAAGTTTGTAGTCTGAATTAATGTAATGCAATAAGTTAAAAAGGCGGGAAAATGCTAAATAAAATGCTGACTGAAAATAAACATACTGCGAGACTGATTCAATGACTCAATGACATTTGCTGCTGCTTTTTTCATATACTCTTGAGTTTGAATCAATCTAACGAATCAGTCACTGAGCCACTAATATTGTTTCATGATTCTCATGAACCGATTTACAAAGCGTCTGGAATACAAGGGTGAATTTAGTGAGCAAAACTGTACAGCACATTGGAAACCTAGACAGCATTAGCATTTGAGCATGTGTTTTCACATTCATGTGACCAAGCGCATTTGAATAGCAATGAACAACCCCTATTCTGACATTCATTCTGCTCTGTGGGATTCGTCTATCTCAGAATGGCAGAACAGTGTGAGCTTCCCCAGTGAATATTCCCGATAATGGGAAAAATTCCCATGGCTAAGTACACTGTGCAGTGAACGGGAACACAAGAGCGCGGCTGTGGGATTTCAGCGAGACAAACAGGGAGTGATGCCAAGTTCAGCGCCTCTCTTTCCAGAGCAGCCAGTGTACTGAAGCAGCTGCCATGGGTTTACGTCGTTTGTCTGTCCTTTTTTATCGCATTTCCGATCTTCTGATGCCACGCTCATAAAAGCGACTCTCCAGGGCAGCGGGCACAGACTCAGATATCGACGCTGGCCGTCTAATAAATCACCAGAGAGATCTGGAGTCGTCATCAACCTGCAAACTATAAAAAAGATGAAGTTGTATTTCACTTTTGCTTACATCGTTACCAAACAGCGCTGGATTTTGATGTTCCTAAGTAGAACGATCCTGTCTATCATGTTGAATATTCATATTTAATGGGTGGATGTCTTGAAAATGGTTGGTAGGAAAGAGTGACACATTCCATTTCTATCTGATTCAAAACCTGAAGAACTGTTGATGGATTTTGACAAATTCTAACACTTTTTTCTTGGCAGGGCTGTTCAGGACGTTCCTATGTGATATTCATCACATAATTGCAGGTCAGGGGTCTTAAATAGACATCGCCCCAATTTATAAATATATAGCTTCTTGTGTCATTCTGGAAAGGTTGGTTTATGGTTATAAAAATAGAATGTAATAAGCATTAGAGGATGTTCTGTGTAGGTTATATTTAGGTTGTCATAAAAATAACTCCCTTCAATGTTCTATGAAGGTTACTTTAGAATTATAGAAATGCAACCTAAAAAACAAACATTACAGAATGTTCTGTATAAGTTAAGTTATCAAAATAAAAAAAATAAAAACAATCCCTGCAACATTCTGGGAAGGTTAGTGTCTGATTAGACAGACAGATAGATAGATAGATAGATAGATAGATAGATAGATAGACAGACAGACAGACAGACAGACAGACAGAATATAAAATAAAATAAAATAAAAATATTAATTTATGGTTACAAAAATCTCAACTAATAAGGTAGTAAAAATAAAACATAAGAAGAAAGAAGAAAAAAAGATGATGATGATGATAATAATAATAATAATAATAATAACATTCTGTATAGGTTCTATTTATGTTGTAAATAAATAAATAATAATAATAATAATAATAGTCTGTATATGTTCTCTTTAGGTAAATAAATAAATAAACCCTTCAAGTTTAATTTATGTTATGTAAAAATGAAATCCAAATAAATAAATAATAATAATAATAATAATAATAACATTCTCAAAGGTTCTCTTTAGGTTGTAAATAAATAAAGGCCTGCAATGTTCTGTTTTTGATTATAAAAATAAAAATATTTATAAAAAATAAAACCCAAAATATAACCATTAAGGAGCACTCTTTATACGTCATCTTTAGGTTGTCACAAAAACCTCCCAACAACATTATGGAACCGAACGGGAACCGTATGCCAACATTAGAGAAAAGTTCTTCCTTTTTTTTTTCTTTTTTTTCCCCCCGGCGTCACCGGCTTCACTCACGGGTCTCTTTCTGTTCTTTCTGTAGGTGGAATCTGCATCGCTCAGTCCCTGAAGATCCCTCACGACCACAAGCAGGCTGATTTTGAAAAGATTATCCGACAGCTGCTGGAGACCCGTCATGCCCGGGCGGTCATTATTTTCGCTTACGACGAAGACATTCGGTAAGCTGTTGACAGGAGAGGAAGAGGAAGCGGAAATCGCAAGACAGAGCTATAGTAAATTTCATTTTCAAGCAATTAATTGCTCCCTTTCGAGCTCCAAAAAAAACAACATAAAAGTTCTCGATGACAACAAGTCAATACTCTATTGGCCTGAAAGCTATTACTTAGATAAAACCCAAGGGTGCACTTCAGGGCTTTACATCTTGTTTGCTGGATAAGCTCAGCCGCTTGGGTTATTGATTAATGACATCAACATATCATTCAAGCAAACCCATTGAACATTGCTTTTTTTTTTGTATTTCATACACAATAACGATTCAATCTGGATGCTATTACAATCGCAAGCCTACATCTCTTGCGATGTTGAAGAGTCACAGAGGGCTTCGAAGTCATGGTAATGGTTTCCTGTGTGGGAATGTTTGCAGGGGGATCCTTAACGCTAGCAAAAGAGCCGATCAAGTGGGCCATTTCCTGTGGATCGGCTCGGATAGCTGGGGAGCCAAGAACAGCCCTATTCAAGGCCTGGAGGACGCCGCCGTTGGTGCCGTCACCATCCTGCCAAAAAGAGCCACTATTGCTGGTAAGATTGATCAGTTTTGGAGACGATTATGCTGATGATTTTTAGGGAAGACCAGTGTCTCTCAGTGTTGTGTGACTTTCAATGACTTCATGTGGGTTCAGCGGTTGTGATGATGGGGTGCTAAGACTTATTCTTCAAGCGTCAAATTTCTTGACGCTTTTCTTGAAGCTGTGCTGTACATTTAGAGATGTTTCATCAACTACTGGCACTTTGTGTTGATTTTAATTATTTTGTACTGGCGTTTTTGTTATAAACTACCATTCAGACATTTGGGGTCGGTAAGAATTTTTACTGGTTTTGAAAGAAGATTCTTCTGCTCACCAAGACTGCATTTATTTGATTAAAAATACAGTATTTATAGTAATATTATGAAATATTATTGCAATTTAAAATAAGTGTTTTCTGTTTGAATGTATTTTAAAATGTAATTTATTACGGTGATGATATAGGCGAATTTTCAGCATCATTACTCCAGTCTTCAGTGTCACATGATCCTTCAGAAATCATTCTAATATACTGATTTGCTGCTCAAGAAACATTTATTATTATCAATTATCATTAATGATTAACCCCACCATAACTAGAAAGTTTAAAAGAACAGTAATTATTTGAACTTTTTTATTTGATTTACTTTTTAGACATTACAATTTTTTGGTAAACAATGTCTTTACTTTTCACTTTTGACCAATTTAATGCATCCTTGATTTTCAAAAGTACTGATTTCTTTAAAACAACAACAAAAATGCATATTTCAGACCATAAACTTTTAATGCTCTAATAATGTTGTTGATTGTTTTTTTTGTTGTTGTTATTTTAATAATGCATTTCACCATTTATTATTACAAATAGATTTTATTTTAGATTTTTTTAGTTTTACCTATCAGACCCAGACTTTATATCTTTAAAAAAAAAAAATATATATATATTATAT